CTGAGGAAGACAAACAAGCTGCTCTGGAAGCAATGCAGTTTACTCATGCACAGGGAGTACATGTTGTTAAACTGTCACCAAAGAAATGGTTCAAATTCTCACCTTGTGTACACCTGTGCCACCTCAGGGAAGTCTCTGGCGTAACTTGTGTAACTCCATACAATTGCTGTAACAGAGCTCTCTCACGATAACAGTGATTAATCCACAGGACAGGAAAAATGGAAAGCAAAATGCCTGAATCTGCCAAGGGTCAATTTATTGGCTTTTATTTGCCAAAGCATGTCATGGCTGAGGTATAGAAAAATGCATCTACAGTCAGCCTGCAGTGGCTCCAAGACACTCTTCCAAGCCAAGCAGAACATTCTTCGGTAGTTCTCAATTGCATCTCAATTGCAATCCAAAAATGCCTGCAAGCCCAGCAGTTTATGAAGCAATTATTTTCCAAACAGATTAAAAAAAAAGAAGAGGGATTCCTGGGGACACTCTTAGTGCTCCTGTATCTCCAGCTCAATAGCTGTATTCAACCCGTTCTGCTCACTGCTCAGTCCCAATTACAACGAGCTAGCTCGCTGCTCAGTCCCAATTACAATGAAAGTATTTAATTTCCTCTTTGATTTCCCTTCCACAACAGATTGCAACTTGTGACACTTCAAGTAATTTTGGTAGCTCATTTAACACACACTGAAACCTGAATATCTGCTGATTATGTTCCCAGGCTCTGGCTCATTGCAATAAAGGATGGAGAAAGGAGATGCAATCTCTTGAGATTGAGAACCTAACCATGATTATTGCTGGCTGAAAACTTGCTTTGTCCCAGTAGTCTTGGGGTACAGCTAGAATCTTTCATGAATGATTAATGAACTATAGGCAGATCAATGAAACTCTGCCCTAAATGTTTCTGTAACCAACTCATGTGGGGGTCAAAGAAGTCTAATCAGACGGTATCCTGTAATTTGCAACTCTTGATGTAGTGAAACAGAGTCATTCATCTCATTTACTGTGGCTGGTTTCTCTAGCCCAAGTACCTGAGTCAACTAAGTGATTGTTTTTTTCCCTTTCCTGCTTCCTACTCAGCATTAAAGTTATTATGTGGTTAGTTGGCCTCCAATATCCACGTTTATATTGAGGAGAACCTTCCTCCATCAGTAACTCCACTGATTCCATGAACTGAAAATTCAGGATTATACTCATTGCTGGTGAACATGCTCGATAACTTATCAAGAGACTATTAAGCTTCCCATAAAGCCTTTTTTAGTGGTAAGTCTTAGAGATCTTTAAATTCTGTCAGCAATATCAAACTTTAAAATTATTTCTTATCCCATATTTCTATAACCAGTGTAGTCACTTACTTCCAGAAATAATAAAGGCTGTAGAACCATATTCTCATCTTCCTTGGTGGATGATGAGTTGGCCTCAGTAAAGTTGTTAACGATGTAAAATAAAATGCAAATTAAATAGCACAATCAAAATCAAGCTATTAAAAAAATAGTCATGCAGGCAGTATTGATAGTAAGTACCAGCCTTTTGCTTATATTGTTACATAGATAACACCAGCATATTAGAAACGTAATAAATCACAGAAAGCTGTTTCTATAGCCAGGAGTTTCTCAAACAATAGATCATGACCCTGCATGGGGATTCATGAATGAGTCTGAATGGGGGCACAAAAAACCGTTAGTGAGAAGCAAGGGCAGATATTTCGCCCAAAGTTGAGCAGCTCAGTCCTGTAGCAGGGGAACAAGAAAGCAGACTGTAATTAGTGGCTGCAAGTGTTTATACTTGCTAGTGAACTGCTAACTACCTTTAATTACAACAGCTCACTCTCTCCCGGAGAGGGGAGCAATATAGGCTAGAATTAAAATTGCCAGATAGTTGCCTTTCACTGCAGGCAATAGATCTGTTTCTCCAGGGAGGAAGAATAAACTTGCGACTGGATCTTATTCCCCCGTCATTTGGAAATGGGGCCATTACTAACTCAGGGGGTCACACAAATACGCAGTCAGACACGGATGTATTTTCAAGTGGTGTAAGAAAGAAATCAATAGCCTCATTTACAGAATGTGCAACTACCAGGCAAAGACTGAGGTGCCCCATGCAAAGGACATTTATTAAAGAACTTAAAATGAGAGGCTAATTGAAAAAGTGTGATCTCACTGAAATGCACTTGTCCATTTCTCTCTGCTGCCCTGCCTGTCATTTGAACCCACTTTCTTGCCCAGAAGGTATCACCTTTTCAAAGTTGTCAGCAACTGGATGCACCAGGATGGAAACTGATCGAGACTGCAGTCCAACACCACACAGTTAGCACCTTAAACAGGTCAAGATAAGAGTCCTCTCCTCTTCCCTCCTGCATGCAGCTTTTATTGAGCCTGGAAAAGAAAGTATCCAGCTCTTTTCTCTCTCTCAAAATGAGGGATCTGGGGGAAATACAAGAGTGATACATACCCCATGCCCCCATGTTGAGGGCTTTTAGTATCATCAAAGTCCATGCTTGCTTTCTTGAGGTCTCTTGTAAGGTCCGTATGGCCTGTACCTTGCTCCAGGAGTGCTCTACAGCTCCCCAGAATGCAGTAAGAGTGATGTCAGGTAATAGTGACCTTGCAGGTGGACACACCCTTATCTCAGCAGCAAAGGTCTTCACTGCACACCGCCCACATGGTCCCATTCCCATTCTCACACCACATCCTGCGGTGTGACAACCTCTCCCTGGGGAAGCAGCTGGGAAGAGGGATCCAGGTTACAAATTACCTGGGGGGAAAGAGAGAAAGAGAGAGGGGGAAAGAGAGAAAAAGAGAGAGGGAGGGAGGAAGGGAGGGAGGAAGGAAGGAAGGAAAAGAAAATGGAAAATAAATAAAAAAGAAGGAAAGGTGTTATTTTTCAGGTGGATCAGTTTTCCAACCTGTTGCATTGAACAACCACATGAACACTTGTGGTGGCCTGAGCCAAGAGTGGGAAATATTAGAAGTGACTTTAACAGCACTGCCACGTAGTGGCTGATTGTGAGTGACAGACTAGCCCTAGATCCTGGCAGGAGAAAAGGTGAGATGACCTGAATGGTGTCTAAACAACTTGGCCATGTAAAAGGGCTCTCACAGTGAGAGGAGGCTCTGGAGTTTTGCAGGCAAAGGCTTAACACAGCACAAGCCTCACCAATGAAGCTGGGCAGCTTGAAACTCAAAATGGAAACAGCTTCCTGCTAGTGAGGGTGATTAGGCAGGGAGGATATGAATTTACGGTGGCCCAGGGCATCAAAGAAGACATTTAAGCCATAAGACATTCTTAAACCTAAGGTTTGGGTCTCTGTGGGATGAAATTGTCCTAATGAGCTCTCCTCCTTGCAGAGGAGAGAATAAAAATGGTGCCAGCCCATTGGACTGAAGAATGGCTGCTCCCAATAAATCCTGCCCTGTACCAGTAGCCTGAGTAATATGGATGGCATTTTATCCAAAGACCATGCAAATAGGATGACCTACTGAAGAAAGTAAAAAATACCAGACTCCAAATATTATTTTTCTGACACTAAAACCATCATGTCTGTGCCGTGGGCATACCCTTACTGAGCTGCTGGGACTTTCCCAGCGCTTCCAACAGGTTCTCTGCCTGCTGTAAAAGTCACCAATTAGGTAAACCCCTCCTGCAAGCTGTGCCACCTTGTCTTCTAACAATTTGGTGTCTGATACATGGCAAATTACTTCTTCCCAGGGAACTCAGGAGGCACAAGTTATTCCAGAAAGTTCCTGCTTCAAGTAGAAACTCTTCCCATTCCTTCACTTCTGTCAGATCTACAGAGATCCACTCAGGGGATCTTTTCACACGTTTCTGCAAAATGCTTCATAACTACAACCACAAGTCAGCTTTTAGCAAGCTTTTCTTTACAACCTGTCACCAGCGTTCTGACTAGCCAGAAGGGTTACCTCCATGGTCTCTAGTGCTGAGCAGGATGCCTGCAAGCCATGCGGCTTGTTCGGGAATAGGGATACAGACCTCAGCAGCCTGAGAAGCCAGGGAGAATGGTTTCAAAACATTATTTACTGGAAACTGCAAAGACAAAACTAATGTTTAATTCTCTGCCCCTTCCTTGACTTTCTGTACTGCTTATCTTTGTCACTTCTGTGTCAGGTGAGGCACAGCCTGGACAGATACAGCTAGGAAGGGGATGCTCTGGGCAGCTTCAAGTGAAATGGAGGCTTTAAAATAGACTTTCAAGCCGTTATGTATTTCATCTTTGCTTAGCAGCTGGTTACTGTGCTGAAGCCATGAATCACACCGCTTGAAGTGATTGAAGGAGGGGAAAGAATAATAATCATAAAGTGGCAAACCAGCTCAGGGATAGGCTTGGGAGCCCTATTAAACTTGAGAGGCTACAATTTCTATTCCCAGACCTGCTGGTTAATACAAGAACAAGCACCATGCTTCCCCACCCCATCCAAAGAGTTGTACTAGGCAAAACCTGAGGAGCAAACCAGCAACAGGTCAATGCTGTACTGTGTAGTCAAAAGTTGCCAGCAGAGTAACATGGCAGCGCTCATGAAATGTCTGCAGCAGCTCTGGCAAGCTTTGCAAAATTCGTAATTATAGCTACAGGCTTCATCGCAAAAGGAATCAAAATATGTGATGTTTGTTTCTGTGGAAGAATGGGAGGAGACTAATGGTAAAGGAGAGGGAGTGGGAGTGCGGAAGCGGGGAGACGGGAAGGCAGGGAACCAAACCCTGCCGAGTTTTCAGGGACCCGCAGAAAAACTCGTCTAAATAGAGTAGTTGAGACCTCAAATACCGTGCGGTGCTTTGACAGTCTTCTAGTTTACTGTGTACTTAACAAAGTGCTCTTACATTTAGTAGGCTGGAATGTCCATTTGACTATAGACTCCCTGCTACTTTGCTCGTACTTTAACATTTTGGACACGTGACAAAAATGTGTGTAACGCATTTTTTAAAGTGTTGATTGTGCTCGTAATTTTCAAGTCAGAATATAAAATAAACATCTCTGCCCTTTCTTCCAGCAGGCAGCACAGAGATCTGCTCTCCGCGTTCTATCTGACAGGTACATTTTGTCATTTTTATGAACTATAAATTGCTTTATGAAACGTTGAGCCCTATTTATTGTGGCATATAACTCATAATCGGATTTTGTCCCCAAAGTATCTGTGAACTGGGATGTTAAACATTTTGCATGCTTGGATTTGTCATGCATGTGTAGAGTTTATTACTGCAAAAAATCACAGTCTTGTTGTATTTCATACAGAGTATGCAGAATCCCTTGTTGTGATACCAAACGAGAGATAAGAAACTTACTGGAGAGGGCATGAATGATGCAGTAAATTCTGAGCTTTAGAGTTTGCCGAGATATATCTGAGCTCATTTTTCAGCAATAAGTACTTCATTTATTCCGAGATGTTCTCTTTTGACTTTTCCAAATCCTTTCCCTGGGAATTACTCTTTTTTTGATGAGATTCTCTGTACGTTTTATGCACAAAAACAATCCCTTTTTTACCCCTAAGTTTTGAGGGATTGGTGTTTTGGAGGAATTTAATTCATTTTTCTTCACTTTTTCTAGAACTGCAGCAGTGCTCCAGGCAGATAAGCAGGGGACCAAATCCTTAGACAGTGTTCAGGTTTTACTCAGCTCTTTTTCAAGCAAAAAATCCATTAACTTCATTGGGAAGCTTGCCCGACTGAGGAATTCAGGATTTGGGCCATAGTAAATGTTATGGTTGGGCCCGTAGGTCTGCACAGGTATTTACCTTAAATGACTTTTATGAAAGAGGATTGATTGAAATATAAGGTAGCTTTCTAAGACGGTCCTGATTTCTTTTCCAGTTTTGGGCACGGGGTGAGGGGGTGGGCGGTGGGGTGGGGGAAGGGGGAGGAGAGACTGTACATTTTAGTGCCTGTGAAAAAGGACTAGCAGATTTACATTTATCCACAAATGAGGTACTGTGTCATGCAGGCTGACACAGAGTAAATTTCCCCATGCCTTGTTGGCAGCCCCCTCTGCTCCGTCTGGCCCCCCGCCCCCCGCCTCCCTGGGAATAAGCAGTAATTGACTCTGGAAGCCAGCTCAGGCCAGGATTTCTCCAGAGCAGAGCCTGTCACTTAGGCTGAATTATATGTTGTGCATGGATGAATAACATTTCTCTCTGCTTGGAAGCTAAGACCGCCAAAATTATCGACCTTTCTCCCCCCTTAAGTTTACAAACACTGTTTTATTTAGAATTTTCTCCCCCCTTAAGGAATAAAATTCCCGAGTGAAATGTATGGGAGGTGGGTGAAATCGCTGGCACGGTTGTAGGGCACACAAGTATATGCTAGGACGAAAGCAAAATGAAAGAGGTGCCAGAGTCATCGTTATGCCCCTCTCCCTGGAGGTGTATGAGTTTGCCCCCCGGAGGCAAAGCAGCTTTTGCACTTGGTGGGGACAATACCGTGACCAAATGTGGGGTGTTTTTTCTCAGCATACTTCCCTGGGGCTGAATGAGGAACATTCCTTCAGAAGTGCCCCTGGAGGTAGTTAATGAGCCCCAAACCCTGCAGTGCTCTGTCTCCCCTATAAAAGAAAAGGGGCAGTGATGGATAGATTCTCCCTAACTCATCAGAGCTGGTGAAGGAGCTGGGTGCAGGCTGCTCCCATCCTCGGGGCTTAAATGTTGCCCATCAGACTTCAGATTCATTATTTATGACCATGTGTTCCCCTCCGTGCCCCTGAAAGCAGGCGTGGGGACTGCAGCTTTCTCACCTGCTCTGCAAACCTCCCTTTGGCTGCCAGGGCACCCTCTGGAGGGCTGTTGGGATGGCTGCGGGTGCACCCTGCAGGGTTGCCTCCTCTAACCTTGCTGCAGCGAGCAAACGGGAGGGCAGGGGTCCAAAAACCCACACTGTGATGGCAGCTTCTGTCTAGTCTTGGCTAAAGTGAGGATGCCTGTGACATTGCTGCTCATTACTTGTGTCCCGGTAGCAACTAAGAGCTCCCCAGTCACACACCAGCGCTTCCCAGCACAAAGGGAGGAGTCAGCTTAAATAAAGCTCCAGTAATTTTGTCGTCTTTTTTTTTTCCAATATTTTCCAGCAGTTTTTGTCACAATTTTTGCTTTCAGATTCTGTTAAAAAGGTAAGTTAGCTAAACTGAAGGAGGGAGAGGGGGAAAAAAAGAGGTTTTAAACATGTAGCCATTGATTTCTTTAGTGTATTGCACTCAGTCTTGTTTTCAGAATGACACAGTAACCCCCAGCAGATTTATGTGCAAACACAAAGATTAGTGACCCAGAAGCTTGACTGAAACAGCTTTTTTGCTTCCAGAAGACAGGTTGCTCTGCACATGCACTATTTTGTCAGGAAAGATGCACTGGCCCCATTAGCTTTTCATTCTCTCATGAAAAACCCTCGGTGTTTGTACAGCCCAGCTTTTGGTTTTAATTTTATTGTGCTCTTCAGCAAAGTGGTCTAGATGTACAGATTGCACAGTTTCTGGGACAAAGAAGAGCAAGAACTTAACTCATATACCTTAATGGTATAGTGCTAGCATACCTTCAATTGACTCTCACAGCCGCTGCCTGAATAGCTTTCAAATGAAGAAAAATGTCTATAACTAAAATATTCAGTGTGTTCTGTTGTTATTTAGCAGTAAGCGGTGTGGTTAAGTCAGGTCTTAAACCTGCTTAATCCCACTGAGCTAAATAGATTTTACTATTGACTCCCATGGTCCCAGAACTCTGACCTTAGGGCTAAAAAAGCTATTTTTTTGCAGTCTGTTCCACTAACCCAGAAGCATTTGCTTGCTGGATACATTTGCAATGGAGAATGTCCAGCTGTAAATTACAGCTGTTTGCAATCATACCCAAACACAACACTCATTATTATTCTTTTGTTCTTTTTAGGCTGAAAAGCCCACCATGAGGGAGACCGCACAGTACTTAATCCACACATTAAATTTACTTGCAGCACATATTCATGTGCAAGATAAGATTTTCCATGAAATAAAGATTTACAGTGGTCCTAAGGCACTTTTATTCCCCTAGCTGCTTTTATTTCTCTGTGCTGTAGTGTAGGCCAAGTGGGTCTGCTGAAGAGTTTTGACCATTTAGAGGAAAGCATTGTACCACCACTGAATTTCCTCTCTCATTGTAATGGGGGAAAGATAGCTCATTCACTGCAGTGCTTGGGTGGTACTTAAGAAACAAGCTTAATTCACTATTGTGATCTAGTCTCCTTTCTGTGTACTTACGCTGGAGGATGCAGTCAGACCATGCTAAGCTCTGTCCGTATGAACCTCAGTGCAGGCATGTAGGGCAGGGGCAGAGTTGAACCTACTCAGCCCCACAGCCATGCAGCTGTGCTGGCAAGCCTGCTCATCCCAGCTGATGAGTCCTGTAAAGACTTCAATTCACTAGCTTACCCTCACCACCTGGGGAATATATACATGTCATCCAGACCTGAACTTTAAGTTCAGGCTATGATAAAGCTGTTTGATTTACCACCTTGTGCTGTCGGTAGAGAAGGCGTCTCAACACTAACATCCGCTTGGCAGTTGTCCTGGGTTCAGCTGTAACAGTCATTTTTCTCTTTCTTAGTAGCTGGCGCACTGCTGTGTTTTTTGCTTTAGTCTGAGAACAATGCTGATAACACTCCTAATGTTTTTAGTTGTTGATAGGTAGTGCTTGCCCCAATCAAGGACTTTTCAGTCTCTCATGCTCTGCTGTTGAGGAGGGGCCCAAGAAGCTGGAACAAAGCAGAGACAGGACACCTGACCCAAACTAGCCAAAGAGGTATTCCATACCACAGCACGTCGTGCCCAGGATGTAGAACTGGGGGCAGTTATCCGGAAGGGCTAGATCACTGCTTGGGCTGGGATGGGTCTCAGTCAGCGGGTGGTGAGAGGTTGTATTCTCTTCCCTCGTTATTTCCCATATCATTATTCCTATCGGTGGCAGCAGCAGTGATTTGTGTTATACCTTAGTTACTGGACTGTTCTTATCTCAACCCATGGGAGTTACATTCTTTTGATTCTCCTCCACATCCCTCTAGGGGGTCAGTGAAAGAACACCTGCGTGGTTCTGAGTTACTGTCTGGGCTTAAACCACAACAGCAGTGTAGACAAGCTCTGTTTGTGATGGTTAGTGAGCTACACAGCCTGTCTGAGCTTCCGTTCACCTTCCTGTTGGGAAGAAGGGGTAGTACTTTGCATTGTCATGTAACCAAGCCTTGTCCATGCATGACTGATAACTGTTAGGACATCAAAATACAGGCTGTGCCAGGCATGAGCTGTTTTACCGTCATGGAACTGGCCAGTTGCACTCAAGATCCTAAAGGGCAAAGGAATTTTCTCCTTGTCCACTGAAGTGGTGATAGGATTGTGGAGCTGAGTGGCAGCTCATGAGAAGCAGTGGAAGCCCACATCTGTGGGGAGAGAGATGTTTGCAAGCAGAGGAGGTGCTGCACAACTCCTCATGGATGCATGCCTGTACTTAGCACTGAGCTGCAACGAAAATTAAACAGAAAAGGTTGGCCTAGGACAATCCAGTGTCTTTCCCTGATATTGTGATAAGGCACAGGATCAATGTTTAGTCCAGTGGGATCTGTAGCATGGCTCTTCTCCTTCAGACAAAGTCACATTGAGATACACCATTTGAGTTAGGAGGCCTGAGGAGGGACTGACTGTAAAGTATTAACACAACAATAAGAGGCAATTTAGACTTTTAATAGATCACTTAAAGCAGGGAAGGCAGCTGTCCAAGCAGCCTTAAAACTTTCAGTAGACAGAGCCAAAGATTTCTGGTTCTCAAGTATCTGCTTCAGCTGTGATTAAGTGAAGCCGTTAAACTTGTGATACCCTAAAGTAAGTAAATAGTACAGTGGCAGCTAGCAAAAATACTGGTGTGCTTTCTGTCACTCACACACTTATGTTTGTGTTGGACTGATCTTTTCGATAACATCGCCTTTTACACCGTGAGAGTCCTCCACATGAGAAGCTACATGGTCAGCTTATCAGCAGAGTGACTCAGCTGGCTGGCTGGCTGGAAAGGCTTCATGTGACAGGTCTGTGTAATC